AACGCCTTTACTATTATGTAACTACTTTTCTAGGGCAAATATTTTCGTATTCATTTCTAGATTAGCATCACTATGTCTGGCATTAATGATACTAATAAAGATTCATTGGAAACTGGAGTAGCTGAACCTCTCAGAAAACACACACAAGAATTTACAAAGCAAAGTAATTAATTATTTAAGGGTACCCTCTCTCCCCACAGCAGGCAGATCATGACAAGTAGAGCAAAAGTTATTATAGACTCAAAGTTCTTGGATGCTATCTTCTATAAGATACTGTGATCATAATGGCGAAAAATGTTTCAAATTTTCGTCCTCGTCTCTCCGAGATATTACGTTCGATCGGGCTGAAAAATTATTTTTAAGACACTGTTTACGGCAGGTATCTTTTTATTTTTTGTCCTTCGAATAAAAAAAAATCAAAATGTCGAAGTTACTCTAAAAAAGACATGTTTTTTTCAATACAACTACCAAAAATCAGCAGAGCAATATTTTTTTTTGCAAAAAAATACTAATCTCAAGGAGGATACAATATATGTGGAAAAAGTTTCAGCTCGATCGGATGTACTAGGTCGAAAAATTGATATCATCTCGAATTTTTTAATGTTTAAAGACAATTTTTGGATCCTAAAATGTATTCAGTAGATAGATACTACTTCAGACTATATAACGACTACAAAAAACCAAAATTTTGAGTCACAAAAGAGAGAGGAGTATCCTTAAACCAGTTTTGAATAATACAAATATGTTTTTATGCTTCGATTTTTAGTCATTGCCGTTCTTCCTGGAATACATTGTGCTATTGGATATGGTTTAGCAAATAGTATGTTAATTGAAGGTGATGATGGAAATATTATAATTGATACATTAGAATCACGTGAAGCAGCAACTGAACTTCAAAAAGATTTTCAAGTAATATCATCGAAACCAGTTGTTGCCATTATTTATACTCACAATCATGCCGATCATGTATTTGGAGCTGAAGTTTTAGCTGGCAATAATTTATCCAATGTGAAAGTTTATTCACATTCAAAAACTCAAAAAATTTTGGACGCAACCTTAGGCATAGTTCAACAGATTACTTATCAAAGAGCAGCAAGACAATTTGGAATGTATTTAACGTCAGAGAACGATGGTATTAATAATGGAATTGGTTTAAATTTAAAATATAATAAAGATAGTACAAGTGCACTTCTTTATCCAACAAATACATTTGATACAGATCGTTGGAATTTAACAATAGCTGGTCGAGATTTTGTTTTATATCATGCACCAGGTGAAACAGATGATCAAATTGTAATTTATATGCCTAAAGAAAATGTTCTATTTGCTGCTGATAATATTTATAAAGCATTTCCAAATATTTATGCTATTCGTGGAACAACTACAAGAGATGCTATACAATGGGTTTCTTCTCTTGATTTAATGCGAAATTTAAGATCAGAATATTTAATTCCTTCTCATACAAAACCTATATCTGGAGCAGAATATATCTATGAAACAATAACAATTTATCGAGATGCAATGCAATTTGTTCATGATCAAACTGTTCGATTCATGAATAAAGGATTTTCACCTGATGAAATTATTGGAAACAAACTAATTCAATTACCAAAACGTTTAAAAGAGCATCCTTATTTACAAGAATTCTATGGTACTGTAGACTGGTAAGAAAATCAGATCGATTTTCTATTTAATCTAAAAAAAATCATCCCATAGTACTATTATGTCCCCATTAGTGACACATTGTATTTTAGTGTTGTAGTTTCAAAAAACTTTCAAATTCAAGATTGACTTTAATTTAAAAAACATGATCGTCTTCTATTATATGAAAAGTTTTCGTTGTTTTTGCAGGAGTATTCGAGGTATTTTTGATCAATATTTGGGTTGGTACAGTGGTAAATCATCTGATTTAAATCCTGATGCTCCGAATGTTCGTGCACAAAATCTTATTCGACTCGGTGGTGGAAGTAAAAAAGTATTTGAAAGTGCTCAAGTTGCATATTCAGAACAAAAATATCAATGGTGCTTGGAATTAACTGAAGCTCTTTGTATTTATCCTGAAGATTTAAATAAATCAGAAATCATTCAATTACAAGTTTCCACATTACAAAAATTAGCTTCATTGCAAACATCAGCAAATGGTCGTAATTGGTATTTAACAAAATCATTGGAAATTCAAGGTTTAATTGAAATTAAACCATCACCTGCTCAAGTTACTAAGACAATATTAAATTCTTCATTGAAAAAACTATTTATGTTATTATCTGTAAATCTAAATTATCATAAAGCCAATGATATTAATCAATTAGTTTTATTTCATTTTCAAGATACAAATGAAAAATTTAGTATTCATATTCGTAATGGAATAGCTGATGTTAAATATCAATGGCCTGAAAATATTCAATCAAATCCTATTGATATGATTATCGAAGTGATAAAAGAAGAAATTTGGAAACAAGTAATTGCACGTATAAAAAATCCGTTGACGTGTCTTTCAAACGACGAAATAATACTTAAAGATGGAAATGGAGAAATAACTCCAGAACTAGTTGTTCAATTTCTTACGTTCTTATCTATGTTTACATCCGAATAATTTTCTTATTAACTCTACATGTCGAATGATGATAATTTCTTTTTTCAATAATAAAGAATATTCTTAAAAACAGATGAACTCTCAAGAAAATTGATGCTACTAGATTGATTGACAGTGCTTGTTGTGTCATTCAATGAGATTTTTCCCTCTATATAACTGTTCAGCATATGATTATAAAGCGATTGTTCGATGCTACGTTCACACGCAGTTGCCTATTAACTTAGACAATGTCAGTTGTGCCTTAAAAAGGGGTTCGTGATCGCTAGTATTACGTCTTATAAGTAAAGTTGTTTATGAGAAAGTAGAAAAAGAAGAAGAGTGAAAGTGCACACCACCATTTGGCAACCTCTTCTGCCTTCGGATCCACTTCTTCATCATTGTCTATCAACCCCTTTTCGATGTTCTTAGTGAATTGATCGGACTTCTTGGAAATGTCTTTGATTTTTCGTGTTGAGTTGATATAGTCGATGGCAATTACTTCATTGAATGATGTCATCCATGGATAGGCCAGATGTCGAATGCCATTCAAACGGAAATTGACATTATTGTTGCGTACATAGTTCTTCAGACCGGTCCATACCAATTCGATTACGTTGAGCATACTGTGTCTTATCGATAAGCTGTCAAATATTCTTAGTGAAGACAACAAATGCATCAAGAGCACATTAAGTAACTGGAAAATGTCGATATTATATTTTTCGGCCGTCTTATCAACGACATAAAGCTTTTTTGGTAGATCTTTAAAAGCAAGTTACGGTAGCTCGGCTTTCGTGGCTCGAGTTGGTACTGTGATATTGTGACGTACGAACCATTAAATAATGAACTCCTTTCGCCATGCTCCTTTTGGTTGGTATAGTTTCTTCAGTGAGTTGTGGCATTATCAACTACCAAGGCAATCTAGACATCATTGCCTACGAATGTCAACAACATAAATAGCATTAGCGAATTCTTTTTAGATAATAGAAGATATACGATCAGTCCATATTATACTTCTTGCCGAATTCGAAAATGTCAATTGTTAACAGATGGAAGCTCAATTCACACACAAGAGCAGAAATAGTGAGTGTGCTGTCTGTTACGAGAAGTATTGGATGTGGGTGTCGATATGAGTGAGGATCTTCTGTGTACCTTCATCTATTCATTTTCGATGTGCCTTCATGATACTTTAAGACTAACATGTTATGCAGCGAATTGTGTTAGCAACAAATGTTTCGTTATAAGTTTGATTTTGAAGTATGAGAACTCTAATAATTTACTACTGGTTTTCGAAAGTATTTGGTATTCTAGAAATGAAATAACATTTGAACATCAATGAAACTAGTATACTGTAAATTTAATTTAAAAATGTTCTTTAAAAAAAAACGTGCCTTAGTTTGAATAAGGCATCTATCCATTTTGATGGACGTTATATTCAATTGAAAAGATTATGAGCTAAAACGAATACTTGAATAATTTTAAAAAAGTAAAAAAAAATAAATGAAATCTATATATAATGACTTTACTTATTTTCAAGAAACCCTCGAACAAAAATATTTCTCTTTAAATAATAATTATCATCTTACAGCTAGCAAGATTATCGGTTGATCATGAGAGGTGTTTCTGTTACTACTCTTGCTGTATTCATAGAAACATTGTATATCACGATCGAGTGATTTTGAAAAACAATGCATAATCTATCTCAAAGAATAACTAACAGAATGTTATGAATTTATGAAACAATCACAGCAATCAAAGCACGTTTTAGTTATTGAAAGCATTTTAATTTATAATATGTTTGATAAAATATAAATTTCGGATTTGAATAAAATGGAATTCTATCATTTATAAATATGATGGATGAAATTATGTTAAAATCAATATAAAAACATACGAGCAGAAAAACTATAGCAGAGTATTTTTATTGCTTCTTTCTAAAATTGTCAAGAACCTAGAGTTGCAAATTGAAACCTGCTTCAACATTTTATTAATTAAATCTAGTGGAAATCAGTTGATGATTGATCTATGGAATGGCACAAATCTTGAATTTATCATTGTTCATGTAGTCATTTCGCACAGCTATTCGTGAACTGAATCTCGAGATAAAATTGTTGCTTTCAATATAAGTTCCATGTAGATGGCAAGTGCAATATACTAAATGTAAAAAGTCAAACAAATGAAAGACATTATAAGAACTCTTGTCTGTCTCGTATGTAAATATAGATAGGTAAGACAAAGAACACGTGGATAAATAAGATGATATAGATGCATCAACAACAAACTCGTAGTTAAGAAACAGTGACAATTTAATAATCGATTATATAAGCAGTTAGTCTACAACATTTTTCTCTTGTGAGCATCATCATCATCATCATCATCATTTTGAACTTGCATATAAGTAAGGAATTTTAACTTTTTCTCTATGTTATTATGATGTTAAGTTGGTTGATACAATAAAAATCTATATAATAATTTCTTCAACAATGGAATAAATATTTGAATAAAATATCATATACGAGACTCATTTGTTTTAGATGTGAAGCAAATGAAACCTTTTTCTTATATATTGTATAGTATACTAGTTATATGCTCAAGTACTATTTATATTCATAATTCTGATTCATTCAAATTGGATAATAATGCAGCGATAATACAGGTTCATACTAGGGCAGAAGGTATGATATATTGATTAATAATAAATAACGTGTCGAGCTATTCAAGAATGTTAATGAATATGAGCTGCATAAAAAAGAAACCGGTCAACTATGTTTGTTGATTTCAGAAAAATAATTATGTTCATTGCAAGCTTTGAATATCAAAAAAAAAAGTGTTTTTTTTTCATTTAACAAATGTATTGAAAAACCAGAAAAGTCTATAATGACTGCTATGATGTCACATTCATAGCTGTCGAATATGACTCTTCTGAGAAAAATTTTTTTAAAATGCTATTGATTTAAGATTCATTTGTATTTTTCCTATTGAGAATTGGGACCCGATTCATCAACACAAATATTATCAGTAACTTCGAAATTACATCTTTCAACATCTTCAATAGGTATTTATTGTTTTAATTATATGTTTTTTATTGATTAACAATGTGCTATGTAATTGACATCAGTTCTTTTACATGTATGAAAATGTTTACTGATTCTTGCTTTGGCTATTTCAAATAGTATAAGAAACCTATAGATACTTGTTGTTTTTTTTAAGTGTAACAAGTGAAATATCGCTAGGGAAAAGTGTAGGTCTGAAACCTCTATAATTTGTCAAAATTGTCAAATTCAATTTTTTTAGTCCAGAGAATCCTATTTCTTGCGACTTATTCATATTTTATAAAATGCGGTTATTTTCTTGGACTAGACATCTTCTGATCGAAAAAACCGAACTCAAAAATTTCGACAAACTACTTAAAGATTCAAATTCCTCAACGTCGAGAATTTTCAGTCAAATTTTTAATTTCTATCTTATTTTTCAAAATAGCACCATTTCAGTACTTTCGGGCATAATTTGATATACTACTTAGTGCTGTATTTTATTCTAGCATCGTCAACATCAAATGATACTTCAAGCTCTTTTTTTACAGAACATCTACCAATTTTAATAGCAATAGTATGTAGTGCAGTTGTTTTTGTTGTAATATTGACTGTTATTTGTTGCTACTGTCAACGACGAAGACGAAAGAGATTTCGTGATTCAAAAAGTAAGAATTTCATTTAGACAAATACTAATCTGGATATAATAAAATTTTTTTCGCAACACATATTTCAAAAGTTTATATGCAAATCTAATATTCAACAGAATCTTTTGATTTAGCTTTTAGTAGTTCTATCACTGAAAAAATTGACAGTTGATGTTAGATTATAAAATTACTAGCTATATAATTTTTATCTAATTGTTTATCAAGGTGAACGATCAAATTCTGAAACATCAGAAATTAACGCAATAAAACTAAATGTAATAGCTGAGAAAGTATCTTCAAAAAAAGGGTCTATACCACCAAGAAATAATTACAAATGTGGCTATATGAAATTAACAAAAGAATTTGTTTCATCTCTTGGATGGGCTAAGGCTCTATTCGATCCTTCGTTTGATAAATGTTATTGTAAGGATTGTTATCCTGCTGAATATCCAAATGTTACAAAAGCAGGAAATGCTGAATACGTTATTCCTCGTGGATGGGTACGTTTAGGTCTTCATGTTGATGTAGTTACTCAAGAGCAACACGATATTTGGAATAAATGGATTGTAACTTTTCATGGTACTACTATAATAGCTGCACATTCTATTCTTGCTCATCGTCATTTTTGCTTACCCGGAGATAAACTTATTGATGGAAGTGTATTGGGTATACGTCAAGGACATATTCCAGATAAAAAACATATTTATACATCACCGACGATTGCATATTCAAGTTTGCCAGTTTACAGTCCAAGGAAAGAATTTCGTTCATCAAGAACTAATCGTGTTTATGAAGTTCAAGTTGTTTTACAATGTCGACAAAAACCAACGTCATTTACAGCACAAAGTGAAACTGTTAGAGCCGGTTCAAAACGTATTTGTCCATTTATACCTAATGAAAAGGTCGAATATTATACTGATATAAGATCAGCAATTGTTGCCTATGGATTACTTGTACGATTTTATGAAATTTCAGATGATTGCGATTTCTAAATAATATCTTGTTTTTATTTTTTCGAAATCGACAAAATAATTTATTCAAATAAATCTTATGAAATGTATTTGTTTTCATTTTCATATTGAAAGAAATTGCTATTGAAAAACTCATGTTGTTTATTATGAGAAAAATCTTGTTCATTTATGAATTACTGTAACCTATGATGAAATAATATTAATTGTTAAACAACTAAGTTTTTCACGATATACGTGAACGAAAAAAAATGGTTAACAATCATTTAATAGTTACTATAGAGAGGAAGAATGCTCTTGCATTTCAGCTACCTTACAGTATTTGATGCTGTCTAGTGGCAGATCCAGTAGCTCGATATGTTCTGTACAACTGATACTTGCTGTAGCTCTGGCCAGAAAGCCGGTCTAACGCTGAGTTCTTGTGGTCCCCATGCATACTAACTAATCCCAAGAATAGCACCTAAAAATGTTGCTCAATAACAAAAGAAAACAATTAAAGAAAAAATTGATTCGATTAATAAAAAAAGAAGAAAAATAGAGTGATATCTTATTGTCATGCTGATATAGAACTTGTTACGAGAATTCATAAATTTCTTGTTGATCAAGGTTTTAAAGTTCGGGTTTATCGAGATAATATGCACGGACTCAATCAATTTTAACATTTTTTCATCACAAATAATTAGTTATTTATTTTCTTTTATTTAGCAATGCAAGCTATGGCTGATGCTGTAGAAAATTCTGAATTTGTTATTCTTTGTATGTCAGATGCTTATAAACATAGTATTTATTGTCAAGCTGAAGCTGAATATGAATTTCATTGTAAACGACATTTAATACCAATTATTGTATGTCAAGGTTATCGAACTGATGGACAGTTAGATTTTATTAATTGGTAGTCGAATTTATGTAGATTTTTATCGAATAGAATTTACCAAAGCATGTACATTACTTTTAAAAGAAATGACATTACAAAGAGAACATCAACTTGATAATAGTACAACTGATAATCATATTATATATGAAGATCAATCAAAATTAATTGAATTTATGGATAAATCAAAGTTATCCTAATGAATATTTAAATCGTAATACAATGAAATTAATTTATTATTACATTCCAATTAAACAATGGACAGGAAAAGATGTACTAGATTTTTTTGTATGATTCAAATCTTCATTATATGATGCCGTTATATGAATTAATGATAAGTCATGGATTAATTAAACTTTTTCAAATATGGCAAATATCACCAAGTCATTTTTATAGTCAATAAAATAAAGAATGAACTTCACGATTTAATGGTTTACATTTATCTGTAGATATCTTTACACAATTTTTTAGTGAAATAGATCAATTGACCAGTTCACCATCAATATCATCCATACAAGCTATTGAACAAGATGTACTTGAGTTTAAGTCTGTTTCACCATTATAATCATTGACATTACCACCTATGATTATTGTTAAAAATGGTTCAAATATATGTAGTCCTACTTCATCATTAGAATCACCAATTCCATCAGTAGTTCAACATAGTTCTATATTATCTCCACAGGATATTACATCACCTACTCTCACAACAATTCAGATATCATCTAATGTTCATATTACCGAACGAACTATCTATCAAACAGAATCTATCGTTACTCCAACCATTGATCATAATGCTTAATTATCTCGAGATAGACTAATTATCTGTTTATTTGAAACTTATTGGATCCTATGAACTGAAACTAATTTTTAATAAGGAGCAAACACATCAACATAAATTGTCTAACATCATCTCATATCACAAAACATTTTACAGTTGTGGTACACATTCATTACAAAAAACAATATATTCGCAACGTGAACTGTAAAGCTAAATAAAAAATATACAAATAAAAATTAGCATTGTTTTTATCCGATCCTCAAATATGTATCAACATTTTATTTTATGATAACTCCGATAAGAATTTCAAATTTTCATTGCACTAGTGAGTGAGATATCAAAGTTCTTAATTTAAGTTAAATTGTTGATGAATTGTTCGACATGTCTGTTAGTATTTTATGAAACACGATCTAAAAGGAGTGTAGAAGTATATCAGGTAGAAATGAACATTCATCTTTCCTCCCCCCCATCCTCCACAGTCAACGAAAGACATTACCATAAAAACGTCACAGATAATGACAGACGGAATTGACAGGCGTTGTTGATATCCGACCAAAGGCCGGATATCCATAACGTTTCGTTATAATATATGAACTACTTATTGAATTTTTGGAAAATTAAGTAAATGTATAGTGAAGAACTGAGTCTCAGAATAGATAGAATAAAACAATTGCTCTATGATTAGAAACAACAACGACATCGTGTTTGACATATTTATCGCATAGGGATTGCACTAACGCCTTCTTTTGACATGAGAATACATAGTTTAAGAGAAAATTTGTTCAAGCCAATATCCTTATATTTGTGACATTTAAATAAATGTTTAAGTTCTCTAAGGCAAGTTTGATATTTTCATAAGTTAGAATAACAATTTTACTTTTCAGTCAATAGACCTAAAGCTTAGGTAGTTCAGGAAACAGTATTTTGTCGTTTACGCCAGTATGTATTGTTAAAAATTATTGTTTATCACACCCGAAAGCTGTTTTGAAATAGAAAATAGCAATCGATACCATTGATGAAGATCAATTTCTTGCTATTTTCTGCTTTGAAACGATGTTTCGGTGCGAGAAATGATAACTTTAGACAATAAATATTGGTTTAAACAACAACATGTTGTTTCTTGAACTACCTTGAATGTTTTAAATTGAATGTCTGACGATGTATCTTATCGAAATATGAAACATCTCTAATTTTTGTTAATTAATTATCATTATTCAATAAAAAAATGAGAAGAAAATTTACTCATGTCAAATATTATTTCAACCTTCTTCTCGAAGTAAGAAAGAGGCATCTTAATTACAGAAAGAAGATTTTAAGATTGCAATTCAGAAGTGGAACACTTTGGGTATCAAATCTATACACTTGCTTTCTCGATCAACTCTAAATGTCAACTTCTGACCAAAAAGGTCGATAAGACACATTCAATAAGTAATTTGTATTGACTCGTTTAAGTTTATAATGAACAGATCAAACAGTTTGTTTTGTTTTTGAGAAAGCTATTTAAAATACTCCACTTTTATCCATATGTCTAGATTTTCCTTGGATTTTCACAATTATCAAATCAAATAAGCAGTGTGATGAAGTACATCAAAAATGTGATAAACAAAGAAATTTAAAGTACTAAACGGCAGTAGACGGATGCCAGCAATGTTCTCACAGATTTTTGACTCTTTCTGTTGATGATTTAACTGAAATAAGCATCAACTCTTACTAACTAAGAAAAAGTTAAATCTTATGTACTTGAATATATGATGAAGATTTTTGAATATGTGTCGCAAAAGACAATACGGAGCTTCTATTTAGAAGTATTCAATTGGGATATAGAAATGCTATAAATCACAATGTTTTGATGAAATATATGGAAAATCGTTTCATCAGATAGTTTTGTACACGGAAATGGAGACCAAGATACTTGAACTGTTGCTTACATATTGTGTCAACATTCTGATATTACAGTTATGCGCGTCACCATAATAAAGTAATAAATCATCGTAATTAATCGTTTCATGATATTCTCATCGATGCGCTATCAATAGTTTGTCCGACGTTGCCAATGAAGAAGAAGGTGATAATTCTAGAAATAAAGAAGATTCTTAGTACTAGTGTTGCAATGTTTATTTTACAATTTTCAAATTTTATGAGAAAATGGCATTTTTATTTTATCAAGAAAGTTGGCAAATGTTATTTTCTGATAAAAACATTGCGTTTAGGTCAAAGTGATTTTTCATGACTTCGTCTAAGCATTAATACTGTATATGTATGTTCCTTCTAGGTATCATATCTCGTTTAAATACGATGAATATCACAAAACATGTGTAGATAAGCCTCTTTCTGCAATGATGTGATTATTCCATCATCAAAGAATTAGTTGTCTTATAGTTAAAACAGTGCATTGGCTCATGTTTTTCTCAGAACGACAGCCTATATTAACTTTTGGTCATACAATTAGGTACTGTAACGAACGTAGCATTTGCTTGTCACATTTGTCCAGCGAGTCGCTAGTATTCTCGTCTCGCCAATGGCTCGAAGTCTACTAGACTAGATGGTACTTAATCGGTTATATGGAAACATGCTTTCCGTAATCTCAAACATGGAACCTGAATGAGTCAAAGCTTTTTTAAAAGTCTTTGCAAGATTTATATAGTTCATGCAATTCAGAGTCATACCTTGAATCTTACCAACCAGAAATTTTCGATACTGAAAGAGAACTAAAAAATGGTCTTATATGAACACATTCTATATTTCAAGAAAGTTTTCACGGAGACTAACTAGATAAAATAAGCGATAAATTATCAATTTCTTGCGATGAAAATATAAGTCCAGCTTCCGATCATAATGATATTTTAGCTGTTTGTCTCATTCTCTCATGGAAAAGAATATGGATAATAGAACATCAAATCAAATCTTGTTATTTCATCGAGTTATACTCTTCCGGCTTCATGTGTTTCATAATTAAATTTTCTTTTCTCTTCATGCTTCCCATTGCCTTTCTAGTTTGTAAAAGAATGAGACATACAGCTTCTCTGTAGCACATTGAGATCATATTTTCTATCATTCATCGTTTCTAGTTGTGTCCAAAAAGAGACCATGATTCAGTTTTTCTGGCACTTTGTACTCTTCTGTTTTTGTTGTAATTGGCAACTCTGTTAACACGTATTCGTTGCAGTGCACGATACCAAAGCAGTGTTTCGGAAAAAAAGTCCGACCTAAAATTGCTTTTGGTACATCACACAGTGATATTTTCAAATTTCTCAGTCGATCCGGTTACAATTAATGTATAGATTGTTCTGATTTGAATCGAAGTGATCACGACAATTCATTCTATCAATCGAACATGGAATTGATGTTGGAAGATTTACAAGCAAATATTTTTGAAAAGTCAAAGCAACCTGTTGATATTAAAGCACACAGACGTCGTACTAGCGAAACAATAGGATACAGTTGCTTCTCCTAAAAAAATTAATGGATGTAATCAGAGATCATTATTCTCCCTGATATCTCTCTATTTTGATGGTTAATATAGGAAGACTGATATATAATGTTAGAAGTTTGTTTACTCTATCTTTATAACTATATTTTTATCACATAAATCTGACATCTGTCTTTATTAAAGGAGCTGAAGGCTAATTTATTAATATCATATAATTAGAGAAACATAATGATCACAATCCTTTCCTTTTTTGTCCATGCTAGAGAAAAGATGCCTATAAGCCTGCTCCGTGTAATACTTTTTTAAGTCTTCTACAATTTTGTAATTAGTTTCTAATTTATTAACTAAATATCTAAAAAAAGTAAAGCTTCTTATTATTTCACAAAACAACCAGAAATTTCGTTACCAACAAAAAAACATTTAATACATGTAACAGTACAGCTATTGTCAATACATATGCAACAATTATATTGGGTGAAACTGATAATGCAACATCAATGTCATTATCCTGAGGATGTGGATGTCAACGTAGATCTTAATCTTTTCTGCATCCACTCACACTCTATATAATTTATCTTTAGTTTATACTGAATGTAATTTTGAAATTGATTTAGACATTATTGTAAATGAATTTGCATTGAAAAACAAATACCTATTTTAAAAATAAATGAACTGATTTACGTAAGACTTCAACTGAAATACTTTTTGTAATAACTTGCTAAAAAAAAATTTTTTTCTTCCTCTAAAAAGTTTTGTTTGTGATGCCTATGATCAAATATATTAGTTTAATGATGAAATGAAAATAATCAATGCATCTCGATTTCTTTCAGCCTTTATTCAACAAGGTTCGTATTTATTTGAGCAATAAAAATATTGGAATGAGCAATAATTAAAATACAATTTGGCAATAATATTTGAACAATAAGAAAACTTTATTTGAGCAATTTTATAATATTAAATGAATAATAAATAATTCATTAAATACCGTTAATAATTTCATGTTTTAGCAACAAAAAACGAAAAACTATATTATTTTTCTCTACAATTGAAAAGAAAAAAAAGAAAAATGAAATAATATATCATTGTGCCAATAAAGATTTTTTACTTTCGATGATCTGCCTCTTTTTCTTTTTGTACCTATTTCCACATTCTTTTGCCTTCATTGGATGTTGGCGACATTTTAACCTGATGGACATACCAAAGCTCTGCTTGCAAATATAATTTTTAAGGAATGATGGACAAGTATTTCTAGTATACGTTTCAGCTTGACTTTCATTTTGAACAATTAGCATATTACTTCTTTTGATTGCTGGTTTATGTCAGTAGATTTTGATTCTTGATGTAAATGATCATCTCCAGTTTCATACATTATAATACATTCATTTTCCCTATGGCATAAAAGGTGAATACTAACCGGACATTGTTTTCCACGC